ATCTCTATAAGAATTCATTGATAGCATTATGTCATTAACAACTAACAAGGCTCCTAATCCAGTTTCATCAAATTGGTATAAGGCATTCATCCTTTGTTCCTATGCTGTTGGAGGTATATAATATTTTTTTAGTAATTATTTTCTTTTTCTTTTAATTCTGCCTTTGTTAAGGAGATTAAAGATTCTGCTGACTGTGCAACTTATCATTTGATCTCATTCTTGAATATAGATGCTAAAATTTTAATTGTGACTCTGGCATGAAAATATATTGCCTTCAATAATTCATCCTGTGCAATCTGGTTTTGTAGAAGGGTATCAAGCATCAGATAATATCTGATTATCAATTGCTATGTGTGTCTATTTATTTTAATAAGTTTATATCCATTTTTCCTTAAGGAGTTCAAGATGGCATACATAGCATTCCCTCCTCCAATTTTTTTTTCAAAAACAACCCTGTGACATATATTAGATATTCAGTCTGATAAACTGGATCTGGCAATTAGTTTTTCACTGGTTGGTGGAGTTTAAATTTATTGAATGTGCTTTAGCCAAATATGTTTATTAATTGGATTAAAATGTGGTGTTTGAATCAATCATCCACTGTTAGTCGTTAGAATTTTTTGTGTGCCATCTACTGAACATACAACATGTATTAAAAACATTAAAAACATTTTAAATACATTTCAAATATTACAATACATTTTTGAAAATCTTAAAAAATCTGGTACAATCTTCTAACTCCCTCCCCAAAAGTTATTACAAATGGGATTATTTCTCTGAGCACTGAACACAGAAATATTGATCGTTTCAGACAGTTAGCAAAAAAAAATTTAAACATTACTTTATACTTATTACTTGAAAAAAGGACCAGATTGCTTCAATCTTGATTTCCACTATCATTAAAAAAAATGAAAAAAATATGATGCTAGAGAAAATAAGAAAATTGTTGGCTATCGCTAAGATCATGTTGTCTAAAACAGAAACATTGTATCTATGGTTGATTAAAGCTTCAGAGATTCCTAAAGTGATATAATGATTAACACTATATAAAGAAGGTATTAACTTATTTAATCAGTTTCAGTCTTCAATAAGGGGAATCATTTTAAAGCAAGAAAATCAATTAATGGCATATTTTCATTTCATTGGACAGAAACTGTCAACCCTATAAGGTAGAGCAGACTAGGAAACAGACACCAAGTGGGCTTAAAGCTACTTTTATTAGAACAGCTATACCAGTGTTTCTCAATCTCAGCAAATTTAAGTTGTGTGGACTTCAACCCCCAGAATTCCCCATCCTCTATAGAAACATAAGATCATTCCTAAAACAGCTTTATATATAAAGAAAAAAGTTGATTGTTTTTCCTTGACTTCCAAATTCTGAATAAATACTTTGTTTCTATTTACTCCGATCTTCATATATGTATAAATGGATCCCCACCCTTGTAAATAAAGTCAGACTGACTTTTCTAAATAAAACTTTAGCAGCATTTTGATGGATGGAATTTGGATGAAAAAGAATTATTCCTAAACAATAAGGGTTTTTTTAGCATATAGTGTAATGACAAATATGTTCTACCTGACAGAGTTCAACTATTCTTAAAACAATTTTAAAAACTGATTTAAAAAAAATAGTTTATCTTTCAAAACTATAGATGGATTCAAGTTTAGAGTTGGCAGAATTGTGTTTATGAAAGAGGCGCAGATTTTGGCTGATCCTCCTTCCCTATTGCAGTCTTCTGGGGCTCCTAAATGGATGGACTGGGGCATGGAACATCTTCTGAAATGTGGGAGACAGTGGTAGGGCCATAACGGGGAAGGAAAAAGCCAGGGAAATCACTGTTCCATTTCATTCCTCCAGTGAGAAATTTCTGCTCAGCCTCAATTCTTTTTGTAGCCCAGCAGTACAAAGAATTAGAAAACAATTAGTAATAGCTGTGTGGTTCAGAAAAGCCCTCTTTTAGGGTTTATGAACTGAAATTACAAGGTGGTATATATTGAGGAGGGTAAGAAGATCAGAAAAATTGTTCAAATAGGTTAAAATGGGATAACCAAATCTGGATTGAAAAATGTATTGGGTTTTTACTTGGGAGCCAAGGAGATCATGAGATAACCTTTGGCAAATTCTTAATTCTCAATCTAATCCTACTTCACAAAGCTGAAATTCAAATAAATCAGGTAACATTGTAGAAATACCAAACTATACCACTTCTGAGACTGAGGAGGCAGAATGTATAGCATTCATCTTCAAAATAGTTTTGGTTACTTTTGATACTAAGTAAAAGTTTTTATTTAATTTATGTTATTTCTCCTTTTTCTTTTTCTGCAGACTTTGTAAAGCTAACCTGCTCATAGAAGAAAAAACAGATTCTTGGTAAATGATGTACCTTTATGGATAGATATATACATTCATATTCATCAGGTTGGGGAAAGATTCTTATCCATTAGAATATTCTCAAAAAAAATGAGAACAATATTTTTCCATAGTACTCTGCCTTCCTAAAATGTGTTTTGCTCCTGGATAAGAAATGATAAAAGCTACTCTTATCCCAGCTTTTTTATCCTCAGTTGCAGCTTTTGGAAGTGGTTGTGATTATTCAATAATGAGTGGAAAACTTTCAGTTACAATCCCAGCTAATAGGAAACAATAAGGGAGAGTCAGATTCAATAACAGCTTCAGCGTGGAATTTTAGGAACTGTTACTTGGAAGTCCAGTGTAAAATTCTAGCCATCTTCTCATTTGTGAAAGCAATCTAACCTGATAAATCTAGAAATACTGTATTTCTGCTTCCACAGTATACTAACTGAACTGGAGTGGAAATGTTGTACTAACTGCTAGAAAATGCTTTTGCCACTATTAGATAGCCAAATATGCTTTCATACAAAAAAATCAGTATTGTTATTTGTAATCTTCTGCTGTGAACCTGAGTTTAAATCATGGCTTAGGTATATTTAAGGTATACCTGAACGATGGCAGGAATGTCCTTGATCGTTTCATAATAAATTGTAACATCGTTTTTAATTTCTGCAGTAACATAGTCTTTTCAAACCACAGGGAATCAGAATGTAACTATCTACTGACAAACCTTTGTAATAAAATTGATCTTAGTTTCACAAAGCTAAAGAATGCTTTCCGCATCATAGATGTATGTTGTTGAAGAATGAAACTTATAATTTGCCCTTATTTTGTATTTCCTGAACATCACCCATCCAGACAAAAAGCTTCAGATGCAAAGAGAGTAAATGGAGAATGGCAGGCAAGAAAAACATTTTAGAGAAGTGTGCAAAAGTTACCTGGCCCCGTCACAGGCTGTCTCTGTGCTCTAGCAGTGTCCCGTGATAGTTGTCATCAGAAACGAAAATAGCAAGACAGCAGCTTATAGGCCTAATGGAAACAAAGGGGGGAAAGTATGTTAAGAGCATGCCACTTCTTCACAGCTTCCAACAAACTACTGAAGAGTTTTACTTATTTTTAAAAGATGCAATATACCATTTTGCCTAAACAGTTTTGAGGATGATGAGAGTTGAAGGGCAGCACAGCTGGAAAATACCACATTGTGGAAGGCTGCAATATGTTTATGAACTCCTTCACAGCTAGAGATTACACAAAAATAATATGGAATTTTCCCTATCCCTAAAAAAAAAAAAAAAAAAAAAAAGAATCTGAGCAGTGCTTTTAATATTAATTCCAGTCTGAAATCATTTACAGGTATACAGGCTAATCCAAGAAAGGTCAGCTCCATGCAGATTACGTAATTAAAAGCAGTAATGTTCACATTTTAGTTATACTTCACTCAAATGTTTCTAATCCATGTGAATAACTGTAGGGCCACTTGTACTGTGTACAAATCTGACCTTTGAAGAAAAATAACATTATAACATTTTAAAAGCCTGTCCTCAAATAAAGCCATCATATCAAAAATAAACTACTGTACAAACGATATAAATAGTACCCCAAACCAAAAAGGCAACCCTACAGCACCAGTCATGCTCAGTTTAACTCTTTCTGAAAAGGCAGTGGTGTGGGAGCCCAAAGTATCTCATAGGGTAAGCTGTTGCACACGTTGGGGCTACCACCAAGGTCTGCCCTTAAGTAGCCTTTCTCAAGATGGGCTGATTCCAGCAGGAAAAGACCATCTGAAGGTAATGGGAACCAAACTATATACGGTTTTATAGGTTGACACCACATAAGATGGGAGTGGGTTGGTATATATTTTAAATAAATAAAATTTACAATTACTTTTGCTGATTTCAAATAAAGATCAGAGTTGAAAGCATTTATTAAAACTGGTTTCCATAATATTTTCTTATTCTTATCACTTTCATCATCACCCTCATTATTATTGTTACAGCCCTCATTCTCTCTGACATCCTATTTTTGGGGTTCACAGCCTTTTACCTTCTTCATGTGCAAGGCAAATTTCAGGAAATGATAGCCTGCCCACGCCTCCAAATCTATGGACTTCATTACAATAAATAAATAAATAAATTAAACAAATCACATGTATTTGTTGAATTGCTGGGGTGGGGTAGGGTCAGAAAGACCCTTATATGAAATTTGGATAGTTTTTTATCCTGATCGTTTCACTGATCATGGTTAAATTCTTCTACTAGTCAATATTGTATGACATTGCAAAAACTCTTCCACCTGTGCAGATATAAGGTAAAAGAAAGCCACAAACGTTTAGAGGGAGTAGGTCATATTATCAGCAGAAAAAAGGAGATATGTCAAGTTTTCAGGGATAATTCTAATAGTTCAATCAACGTACCATCTTTAAGAGATTTTGGAGACTGTAATAATAACCTTACAAAGAACAAAAGGGTTAAATAATATGGAGCCTTAAAAATGTGGAGTTAAGATGCATGTATCAAAATTAAACTGAAATATCAAAGTTATCTATAGCAAAAGGAGTTGTCTATAGAATGCTGTATGTGTTGAGAAGATCCATAACAGAACAACAGATCTCTTTCTAAAGGAATAATTTTTCTTATAGAATGTCTTTACTTGAAAAGGAGAAACAGAACAGTTACTGACATTCTCCAAAAATGTAATTGAATTTTAATTCATTCACTTTTAATACTTTGGGAAATATAATTCACCATTATGAAATATCACTCTGAGGTCCTAAAGGTCATACTTGATTTCAGAATATTGCCACTGATCATGTGCAACAAACAAATAGCTAAAACAGGATGGCAAAACAACTTCCAGTCTTACAATAGCTTCTTGTGCATTTTGCAAAAGCTTCTCAAGGCTGACCCAATTATTACTGTTGCTGGTATAAAGAAGAATTTACAGGGGTGTTTTTGGTTCTTCAGTAGTATCTGAAATAGCCACGGTCCAGTTTGGAACTATAAAGTGCCACAGATCTGAGCAGCTATTTAATCCCAACATTCACCAGGTGGGAACAGGGAACTAGTACAGCTCTCTCCCCAAAAGCAGCATAAATTTATATCTCAAATTTAGGAGCAATTTTAAACTTGGCTTTTATGTTGGTAGAATTTTATTGTTTGTACACAATAGGCTACATCCCATGTTATGGGAACAAGTTTTGGTTCATATCACAGGACTTCCATTTGTTCTCTGACTCCATCCACCATCACCATCCCATGTGCTCAAAATCTACTTCAAACAACCTTCCAGATTTCAAAAAGTAGAGAGGAAGATTTTCTTTTGATGAATTGAGAAATGCAACCCACTGTTTCAGCCACACATTTTGACCCCACACAAAAAGAAATAACAAAGAACTTTTCACTAAGCAAATACAGAAAAGATTTAATCATACAACTGTTATATTATCTGGCTTTTATGATTTCAATTAACTAGTAACTTGTTCCAAGGACAGATAAATGTTTAGGATTTGATAACTATGGTTAATCTTCATTCAGCCCAAGATTACACAAAGTAATTACATGTAAACAGGAAAAATGAATTGAATAATATTTCCTGTTCTACTGTTGGGCACTACGTTGTAAATTGTGCCATATGTACAATTACAGTTATCCTGCTGAGCTAAAAATATTGGTGAAGATCTAAAAATGATGAACAGTGCCTTTTTTAAATTAATGTCTTATTAGTTGGGTGAAGTACACTGACAAAGAATAATTTATGCTTATTCAAACTGCTCTCGACATCTTCAGGTGTTTCCAAATGAGCTCACAGAAGAGTGATTAAATGCATCTGATAACAAGCCACACATTGCTGAAATTACTTACCGCCTCATTTTATGATTAATTAAACATGTAGATTAAAGTTGCAAAAGAATTTAGATTAATGAGCAAGTTAAGTCTTGCTGATATAAGTGAATTGGGAATTGGATGCTCTGTGGAACTTTATAAACATGTATTTTATAATGAGTAAGACAAGGCTACATGTTGAATCCTGGCCACAAGGGCCTTTGACGATGCAGTCTTTTTTAACATGGTTTGACAGCTTTCAAATAACATTCTACTATAGGCTTTAAACTTTGTGCATTGCTGTAAAACATGAGACTACATAACTCATGTATTAGGAGTACAATTATTTCCAAGCTCTCCAAGGTAATGACCCCCTGTAGCAGCAGCTGTTCAGAAAAATTACAGGCTCAATTGTTATTTTAATCAGAGAGAGTTTAGTAGTTAAAAGCAGTTATGCAACTTGTAAAATTATATGACACCTCATCAATGCTTTCTCTGCTGCATCCTTGAATCAAAAAGAAAAAGAAAAGAAACACAGAAAGCCCCACAGCTTGGGCTTATTAGGAAAGCTTGACACTCAGCCATTCATCACAAATTCAAAACCATTTACTACAGTGCAAGCCAAGATGATGTTCACATTTACAGTGACTCTTATCAGCTCCAAGAACATCTCAAAGTATTTGCCAGGTTTGGTGACGACCCCATTGTTCTCTTTTACTTAAGACCGGCTTTCCACAATCCAAGTTGGTAGTGGAAAGTCAAGTTGGATTTTTATGGTTTTACAGAACAAGAACCAGTCACATAGTTCAAGGAGACAAAGCACTCCAGTATATTCCATATAGCAATTCAGGCCCAAGAAGTTGAAAAGCCTAACAAAATGGTTAAAAATAAACTTTCAAATATCCAGAAAATGTCATTGTTTACTGTGCCTTGAGTTCATCCAGACCAAAGGCAGGCAGTAAGAAATGCTAAATCACAGATCTGAAGAACCCCAACATTTTCAAATAAATCTGTCTTGTGAATTTCTATATTAGAATGTATAGAGTGTTCACTTTTATTTTTCTTTATTTATTTATTGAAAATTATAAACCACCCAATGGTCAAAGCTTTCTGGGCAGTTTACAATAAAACTCTCTGGCAGGTTTACGTGTTCCATTATATCCTATTTGAGCTCCAGTGAAAAAGAGAAGTATTTTGTGTTTTTAATATAATAAAGAAAAGTTCTTTTCACATGTATAACAAACATTCATTATACAGATAATATTGAACTATTTTAGCAATGCTCCTAGTAGCCTTTGATCATGTTTTTATGTAAGCAAAATATTGTATACATCCTAATACATCCTTTACCTATGAAATCTTCAGTTGTGATGTTAAATAGATATGCAGACATTATGCTTATAATTTTCTCATCTTAACAGGTCACTTTCCTGAAGCTGGCAAAATAGCCTTTTCAAACAAATGCTTTGGTAAAACCTGTAGATTATCTTAGCAAATGGTTTAGTATAACTCTCCATATTAAGATTTTTGTGCACAAATGCCTCCAATATAATTTTTGTGTTGTTCTTTTTCTCTTTTTCTCTTTTTTACTCTTTCTACTCTTTTACTGTTTTTCTTTGTTAATAAAATATATACCCATGTACGTATGACCCAATACGGGATTCCATCTCTCTGGCAAGTGGTCTGGTTCAGTGCTGGTAAACCACTAACAACAAGACACAAACCGGGCATTAGAGTCAATTATCCTTGAACAGCCTTTTTCTGGATGGTGCCAAAATGACATGTGAAGAATCAGTGGACAAAGACTAAAAGCAAAAGAGGATGTCCTCATGTTCAAGCCTACAGCATGGTGATAAGTGAAACAAAGCGGGCTCACTTCTCCTCTCTTATTATTGCTGACACATTGTCATCCAGTGGCCTTGTTTATGAGTCCTTATAGAGTTCTCCCACCTCCCACCAACTGGTTAATTTATATTGATTTATTTATTTCTCAGATTTTGAGAAATAACATTACAAATAAAAAGAAGACAATACATATCACAACTGATTTTTAAGAAAAAAACACAAATATAACTAAAGAAGCTCCACAATCACCCTATCTCCAAGGTCTGGGAGAGCAACCAAGTCTTTAACCAGTCATAAGGATGGGAGCCACACAGATCTCCAAATCCCTCAGATTCACCAAAGTCTTGACTCCTCACAGGCAGA